AAAAAAAAAAAAAAAAGAAAGAAAAACAAAGATGCTAGGGTAATAATAATTGGAGCAGGAGGGCTATTAGCATTATTGTGGAATCATTCTGTTAGTCACAGTAGAAAACAGTAACATTTTTATACATTTTTATTCTGACTAGGAAAACTAGGATTAACTTGAAAATGAGCTCTGCTACTCCCTAACTTTATCAACAGGCAATTTAACCCATTTCCTCATTTATAAATTAACTAAAATCCATGTATGCACAGAACTGAGGAAACACTCTAAGTCAGATGAACATAATGACTTCAACTATTGAATGTTATTGTGTCCCCCAAAAATGTGTTATAAATTCCAACCTCTATGTCCGTGGTTATAATCTCATTTGGGCATGGGCTGTCTTTGTGACATTAATAAGACAAGATAAGCGTAGGATATGTCTTAAATCAATCTCTTTTGAGATATAAAAGAGCTCAATCAAGCAAGCGAGCAGGCAGAGAGAAAAGCACTAGACTGACTGTGAGATCATTCATAAACACAGTGACCAGAATCTCAGTAGGTGAACTGACAGCTCCACACTTGTCATACACTGGACAGGCTTTTGGAATATAAACAAGCAAATGAATAGGACATTTTCTGAGACAACTGGAAAAACGTGATCAAAGACTGTATACTGGATAACAGAACCAATGCTGTCTTCTTTTATTTGTCTTATTGTGATTTGGGTGAAGATTTAATGCTGACTTTCTTAGGTGTAGTATCAGAGATGTGATTGGGTAAGAGAACATCCTTGTTCTTCTAAGATGCATACTTAAGTACTGAAGGGTAAAGTACCATGAGGTCTAAAACAGACACAAATGACAGAGTTTGAGCATGCAGAGACAGACAGACACGGCAAAGTGTGAACAACTGCGCAAGCAACTCAAAGAGATATGAGGGGCAGCTACACTAATATATATATATATATTTTTTAACTTCTCTGTAGGTTTGAAAATTTACGAAATACAAAAGTATGTATGGTCTCTTAAGACTACTGCCTTGGGAAGAAAAAAACTCTCATCATACAATCTCAACATGATCTCTTAAAGTTGAGCAAAAATGTGAAGTCCTAACTATCTAAAAATATAAACAAAGACTGTAGATATTTAAGGCTCCTACAACTTTAAACACTTCCATTTTACAACGCAGCAGAAAGGTATAAAAACCGCTGAGGCATTCAAAGTGTCTAATGTACAAAATCAAAGTGAGGTCTTGTCCCCCTAGCTTCCCTAGAAATGTAACTGAGACAGAAAATCTCCCAGCATGCCCAGGAAAGACCCCATAACTGCACTCCCAGACCTTAGGAGGGCAGAACGCAGCTCACCAATGTGAACAGTCATGCAGGCTGTCATGCAGGGCTTTCCGAAGCACTGAGTCCTTGTCGTAAATGCCCCAGGTAGCTTGTAGCACTGAGTCAAGCAAGCAGTCTCCTGCAGTCCGATTCCAAAGTGCATACAGTCTACTGTCCAAACGCGTGGCAAGTTCCAAGGACCAGTTTATAATCGGCGATTCTTCTTCTAACTCTAAATGAGGAATTTAAATAACATGCTCATTGACATGCTAATGCAACTAAGGAATATTTAGTTTGGGGAAGAACCTACTTATTAGACATAAATAGGTTTACATGAAACTAATAAACACCCAAATAAATTTGGTCATCTGAAATGTAATCCTGACTGAGTAACTGAAGTATCTCGTGGCTCTAGAATAATTCACTCAACTTTTAAATTCTTTACAACTTGTTTTCTAAACATGTTTAAAACAGAAATAAAGTCATTGTGGAATAGGAAGTGGAAAGCAAGGTGTAAATTTTTATACCTGTGGCACTCCAGCACAGTTAAGAGTTTTTATGAGAATTTTTAAAGTCTACGTGACAACTATATGGTACAATAATACCATTCTTGAAGATTTTATTTTTTAAATTAGTAATAAAGGAGATGACCATACACCACACTACTTCAAACCTTACAAATCAATCAGTAACTGAGCCAATCAAAGGACAGGTGAACTCCACTCAGCAGCTCCCTTCTTACCTTTCTGCACATCTCTATCCAGCACCTCATCAAATAGTTTTTCTTGGACTGTTGGGGGCAAGTCTTCAATATCTACCAAAAAAAGCAGACTTATAAAATCTTCTTATGCTTCGTAACTGAATAAACTTGACATAAGCATCTAATATCAAATGCCTCTAAAATCATTCCAACTGAAGGTTGTCATGTTGCTGGCTTAAAAAAATATACATGCAACATGTGTATGCATGTGTGTGACATAAATAACTTTTCTGTATTTCATGATCAAAACTTTGATTCATGCAATAATAAATGAGTAACATTTAGGTCAGTAATTATGCACACAGTTTTATCTGTTCTCTTTTCATACCCTCACGCTCTGTCCAGGCCTGTGGAATGCAGACTTTAGAATCTTCTTACACAAATTAACCCAACAGCCATTCTGACACACAGGTCTGTGTCTGTCACCTTCCCCAAGGTCTCTAAGCTTCTCTCGTTTTACTTAATAGAGTTGCTCAGAGAATAAGTAGCATCATGTTAAAATTAAAAAAAAAAAAAAACACGCAAACTTGAAGTTAAAAATCTAATCATCACTGAGGGTAAGCTTTAACAGAGAGAAAGAGAATCCAAATGAAATTTGATCCAATTTTCACCAGCTTAGCTATTATCCCCCATCGTTGGTTAATGCCCCAAAACATTCAGAACCCAGGAAGAACCTCTATTTTCTAAAGTTCTGATGTTTGTTACATATAATTCAATGTCACATGGCAAAAAGAGTCCTGGAGGACATTTTCAATTATCAGTGAACTGAAAAATGAAAAGTTGCTTCACAAATAATAAAACGAATGCAATGAGTGAAGACAGGAACGACAGTTTCACACTCTGACTCTGCCCGGGTTTCAAATGCTACCTCTGAACTGCAGGAAACCAACAGCTACTGAATTTCAAAATAGCATACAGGTATGAAAAGGAAAAGCAGACTGATAATATTCTGAAATAAATCAATGGGTAAAACTCATATTTTTATAAATATTATTGTTGTTGCTGTTGTTGTTATGTGCCATCGAGTCAGACCTGACTCATGGCGACCCCTCCTTGGTTTTCCGAGGCAGTATCACTACAGAAGTAGATTGCCCAACCTTCCTTCCGAGGAGTGGCTGGTGGGTTTGAACCGCCAGCATTCTGGTTAGCAGTCAAGTACCTTAGGCACTACACCACCAGAGCTCCTCTTAAAAATATTAGAGGCTCAAAACCGATCCATTCTGTCAGCTATTGTCTTTCCTCCAAACCACAGAAAAGCCTTTATTTATGACTACTCTGCACTGGTCAGTTCCCACATAAACAGGACAGAGTCATTTAAGAAGCAAACTCTGTAGCTGAGTTAGCTGCTTTCTAACAAAGCTGTATTTGTCACCCATACATTAAAATGTAACTGCAACATGGTAGAAATTTCTCTTCACATTCAACTTTGAAGTTACCTGCTGGCAACGTAAACGTTACAAGGTCAGTTAAAAAGTAGCAAGCAAAATCGCCCTTTCGCTGGTGCAGAGAGGCAGCTATTTCTCGCCGGATTTGTTCTGTCAGTTCCGGACACACCATTGCTGGAATACACTTTGCTGCTTGTTGAGACACCTTAAACACAAAAAAAGAGACTTTCTGTTGCAGGTCATGCATCATCAACAAAAGCAGAAAACTGGTATTTAAAAGCCAATTACCAAAATTTTCCAGTAATTCAAGTTTGTTTTTTTAATACTAAAATGTATTTGGTATCACTAGAAAGTTCCAGCTGCAGCAGTACAACTTTCCAGGAAAATAGCCATAAAATGTTTTATTTATTCTCTGACTCAGTAACTGCATCCCAGGGAAAGACTCAAAGATGCACATGAACGATTCATACCAAAGGGTGTTTCTCCTAGAAGTACAGCACGGGAGAAAGGACATAAAGCAACCAAAAGAAGACTGACCATCCCACACTCAAAAACAAGCCTCCTTAAAAACCAGGGAGCTCTGGCTCCCGGAGACAGAGGAAACTGCCAACAGCCTTCTCCCTGCTCTGTCGGCATGGGTCAAGTCTCCTCACTCGGAGTAACCAAGGAGCCCCTGGAGGCGCAGTGGCCAAGGCTGCTCACCAAAAAGGTCAGTGGCTCAAACCCACCAGCTGCTCTGTGGGAGAAAGAAGTGACAGTCTGCTTCGTAAAGATTACAGTCTTGGAAACCTACAGGGCAGTTCTACTCTGTCCTACGGAGTCCCTGTGAGTCAGAATCAACAGGTTTGGGTTTTGGTGTAAATGGTTAACGTGCTCAGCTGCTCACCGAAATGTTGGGGACTCGAATCCGCCCAGAAGCGCCTCATAAGAAAGGCCTGAGGACCTACCTGGTCCCACAAAAATGGTTTCCTCAGTTCCCCTCGGTCCTGCCGCCACTTTACCTGGCTGACTCCTCTCTCCTTCAGATCTCAGCTAAGTGTCACCAGCTCTAAGAGAAGCCTCTTGGCACCTCAGAACACTCTCCTTGCATGCTCCCCAGTACCCAGCTCTTAGGGCCATGGTGCACACGCTGGACAGAATCACCTGTTCATTTCTCCATGCGCTTCTAGGACCTCCTTGAGGAGGAGTCAAGTATTCACAAGTGTCACCCTTCTCAGCATGCTGCCTGGCACATGGTAGTGCTCAGTAAATACTTGTCAACTGAATGGATAAATCAGTGGATGAATGATTTAATGACAGATACATCCTTGTTTCGTTTTGTTTTTTAAAATCAAAGATAATTCAAACACTGTGGCAAAATGTAGTGTTTTAATAGCCTATACCCTTAAGAATTAGATATCAATAACATCTCTTAAGCTTAATGTGATTCTTAGGAACTGGAGGGAAGGGGCCCTAAAATATACTTTAGAACTGTTTAGAGCAACGCTGTAGCATCAAAACTGAAAACTAAAGAACACATTTCCTTAATATGAAAGAGTGTTGACCCCAAATGTCCCCCTCACCTCTGTGAGCAGGACTGCGAGCATATCCTGCCTCTGAAAGCGGATGGCCAGGTGCACAAGAGTGTAGCCGACGTCAAACGCAGAGGGGCGGTTCAGCAAGCGCACTTCGTCCGCGGTCAGCTGGCGGGCAATGTCCCCTCCGGACGACTTGTAGGCTTCTATAGCAGCTAAGTCACCTTCTACAACCCCTAAAGCAAGCACCAAGATGGGAAAGCGTTTAATTCTACTTTTTCCCAAAAGCACAAATCTGTAGCATTCACTCCCAACTCTTTACGCGTCTCTCTGTGCTCCATGGGTCCTGGGGCATCATTTAAATATCCTAAAGAACATAAGAAAAATTAATTTATGTGCCTCTCTTTCATTTTTTTCTAGAACTAGGTCTGCCTACTTAGACACTTACCTGGCCACCAGTGCTGGCTCCATGCCCTGGCAGGGCTGCAGAGATTATGAGGATGTAACTGTGAATGGGCAGGGCTCTAAGATCAGTCACTTCACGTGAGAAATGAAACTTCACAAGGCGCTCCTGCCCTGTGGGCCACTCCTGCCCTGTGGGCCACTCCTGCCCTGTCCCCACTCCTGCCCTGTCCCTGAACATACCCTGACTGCAAAAACTGGGAGACAGGAAGGTGCTTCCAGTCGGAGAGGGGCTGCCTCAGCCCTTGATACTTCAGCTTTAAAGCTGAACCAAAACAAATGCTCAACTTTCCACATTGCTGTTCAGCTCTGAAAACAACAAAGAGACTATAGCTCTCTCCGTGTGAGTAAAACGTGAGCATGATTTTGATTTTGGACTCTCTCACAGCCATGTATTCTTTACACTTAGGAATTATTAATAAAGTAAAATCCGAGCCAGCTGATTTTCAGCTAAAATAAAATATTACAAACCCATTGGGGGTAGGAGATAAAGCAAGCATGACTTTTTCCAAACCCATGAACAATGTTTCCATTTCCACCAAACCATTTTATTAATCTTAATACAAGCTAATGGCAGGTAATATTAGCACTCCTATGGACTGAACAGTAGGCTAGGAAGAACTAAGAAGAAAGGCCTGGCAATCTATTCCCAGACGTTAGCCAATGCAGACCCAATGGATCACAATGGTCCAATCTGCAGCTGATGGTGGGGATGGGGCAGGACCGGGCAGCATCCCATTCCACTGTGCGTAGTCTATCAAGAGGGGAGGTCCAACTTGAGAGCAGCAAGTAACAACGGCGCACAGTAATGGAAAGCCCCTGGGTGGTGCAGTTAAGCACTTGACTACTAGCCAGAAGGTTGGTGGTTTGACCCTCCCCAGGGGCACCTCAGAAGACAGGCCTGGTGATCCGCTTCAGAAAGGTCACAGCTGTGAACACCCAAGGAAGCCCAGTTCTACTCTGACACCCATGGGGTCAGCCTGGGTCAGAATTAACTCAACAGCAAGTGGTATGGTTTGGGGTTTGGGAAGTGAACTAACAGCTCTGGCAAAAAATGAAGGTGTAGGTTAGCTTCAAATTCACCACAAATCGCGTTTCAAAAATATACATGGACACACACATCAAGACTATAGGGCCAAATAACTGTGTTTCCTAAATTACATCAAAGAGTTCATTTGTTGGGTGAAACACTAGTATTAGCTACAAAGATTCTCAGTGTGTTTGCAGAAACAGCCTTCAAGTTTCCATCCTGAATGAAGAATTAGAGAAATAAGAAATACAAACTCCAGGATTATAGATCCTTTTTGCAAATCTAGATCCTCTCCCCAAAAAAATGTCTGCCAAAGCTCTCCACATACACACTCTTCAGGTTAAGAACTGATGATACTACATGAGAACACCTTCACATAGGAATTTCTTCTTTTACAGCAATATACATTAATACCTTCCTCATAAACACAAACGCATAGCTGGAAACACCTCCCACACATGCACACTTTATCCTCATGAATGGCTTCCAAATACTCTTAGGAGGATCACAGGCCTGGAGTGGTCACAGGAGGTCAGCAGGGCCAACAGGTAGTGAGGCTGGCTTGAGGCAAGGGGGGTAATCGAAACACCTGATAACTTCACTCTCTTAGCTGGGAGAGGGGAGAGCTTCTAAATCACTGCCATGGCCATTGCTAGCTAACTTACCATAGAGCTGAAATCTGGAAGAATCTCCCTAGAAGTTCTTGCCTAAGAATTCACTTCCTCTCTAATGTCTCTCTCTGGGATTTCTGTAATTAGAAGCTAATTAACACAATCAAAGCCAGGAGGGGTGCAGACCAAATAGTACAGAAGTTACCACACTGCGCTTGGAATTCTAATTTACAGCCTCACCCATTCTGCCTTTAAATTAAGTGCTTTTAAAAATATAAACAGAATTTTAAAGGGAATTGCATGGTAAGTGAATGCTATCTCAATAAAGGTGTTAAAAAGACATCAAAAACCCTTCATTATTCACCCACTCACATCACCAAGCTCTGCACTAACTGCAGTGCCCATCCCCCCGCATGGAGCAGATCCAAGAAGGGAGAAAGTGAGAGTGAACAGAACAGACAAGGCCTTGACCTCATCACAGTCTCCAAACCTCCCAGAGGATGAAAAGCACATGTTTCAGTATGGCCATAAAGTAATATTCAAAAGGGAAATGATTCACTGCCTAATGTTTTAGGAAAGTTAATTTTACTGTCTTCATTAATCATAATGAAGAGCTCATAGTTTAAGTGACTGGTAAGTTTTCAGCTACAAAGATCAGTAACTTCATCGCACATCAAGTTTCATGAGCACTTACTTCACTGAACCATCTTGAGTTTTGGTGTATCTTTCATTACACTGTTCTAAGAGCTGATTCTTTAAGTGATGGGTTTCCACTACAAATAGGATGTGTAACAGAAGTTGGCCTATACTCAAGATAATTTCACATTGCCCTCATGTTTCTATTTGGGGGGAGGAGGGAGAGCATCGGTTTATAAGCAAAAAAAAAAAAAAAAAACTTTCAAAATGCCTGTAAGCTTCTCATAACATTACTTTGTGTCCACCATTTAATATTAGGGGATAAAAGGAAAATAGGAAGTGGTACAACAGTCAGTAACAAAAATAACAGCAAATCAACCTAAGTGATAAAGGCTCACTCTACAGAACAAAAGCTGGAAAAAACCAAAAAGTTCCAGCAAGAGACAAAGAGGTGACCTACATCACCTAAGTTGTTAGTATCTCAGTGTCTCCAAAAGTGACTGAAACCTCCTTCCCTGAATTAGATCTGTTTTTGAAAATCTGACAAATGAGCATTGCATGCTCTGTTCCTTCCTCCTTCATGCTATGAAGGCAAATAAAAGGGTGCTCCAAGAAGATGAACTTCCTATCAGCTGTACCGTCATCATACATTCAGAACCAACTGGGTGAAATGTACAGTTAGTGCCGTACTGGGACATAATTACAAGTAAGGCATTCACATGCTTCAAAAAACCTGAAGACAACATGGAAATGAAAGCTACCGCTTAGATATCTCTAATGACAACATTTTTAAGGGGGAAAAGCTCATACTGTTCGGCAAGCTGGGCCAGGAAGAGAATTTAACGGATTTTGAAGCCACAGGTCACGATTCTGGGGACTTCACAGCTACTATGGAACTCCGCTGGTTAGAATATGGAGCTGGCTCATAGATGCTTAGAAAAGAAACTTATTTTTTTCCCCCATATATGGCACAGTTTTCAAAGTTTTGCCTTATTTTCCTTTATGACAAAAAATCATAATGATCACTAACTTTGAAAAAAATGCCAAATGGTAAAAAAAAAAAAGTCAGGACTTACCTGAGCCCACAGGGCCAGCCCAACACTACCCTGGAGTTCTATGGTAGCTGTGACATCACAGCATGCTTTATGCTGTGGGGTCAGGGTGGACTTGGAGTCAGCTGGCACAATTTCAGGAGCCCTTAAAGAGAAAAGTTAGTTTTAAGTGGTAGTGTTGAGAACGCCCTCATCAAGGTCAGCAGAAAGACGCAGAGGGGCTGGCTAAGATATCTCGGTAACTCTTCCTTGACCCCACAGTTTAATTCATTCCCCTGGTTTCGCATATTACAGAGGAAATTATACCACCCAGTAACACTTATTCCTACACCTGTCACCGTGTGCTATAACTCAATCACAAACCTGGCTTAGAAGCTCACAACTCAAACATCCAATGCACGCTAAGTGAAACACCCTCGGTATTTCTAAGCGCATCTTCGTGGAGGCCCAAGCCCAGTGCCAATCGCAGGAGTCATTGAGCAGATCACCTGCCGGGTGAATTTTCACACAGACCCAATGGCAACAAGTGGACACCTACCATTTCAATCCCTATAGACTAGAGCCATAGAACGGTGGTCTTTTCAAAACACCAAAAAAGATATTCTATTATGAAAATCCCAAATTGGAAATAAATTCTTAAATGTAATCTAATTTATACTATATCAAGATAAGCTTTTATTCAATTCATTCAATGATTTCACTTTCTATTATTAAAACACCCACTTTGGAAAAACAAAAGATTCAAAGAGAAGTCAGTCTCTAATAAAGTCCATTAAATGTCCTATTATTGATCAGGACCAATTATGCCAAATAGAACTGGTATTTCTGAGCGCTTCCTTAAATCTCTGATCAAAACGTAACAATGTTACAGAAATACAGAAATCCCCAAAGTCATGAAGAAATACCTGACCCAACAGACATCTTTGTATGAAAGAGCCTGCCGTGCAGCAGGATTGCTGAAGAAAGCGAGCTGGAAGGGCTTCAAGGAAGATGTTACACAGCTATCTCTCTGGGACACGTGATCAGAACAAGGCCAATATTACTGGGTTAAAGAAGATCAACCTGAATTCAAATAACAAAGGTCACTTGAAATATCACCTAAATATCCAACTCAGGAAGACTAAGGCTATTAACAATCAAATGTTCCAAAGAAAATGTGTTTTTAAAATTCACATAAAGCAGTGCATGTCAAAACCACATTCACCACCAAAAAATCCCCTAAGTTTTCTGACTTCCATGCCAAGTCACCTCAACTGAGTATGAAGCCAAATGTTGGGTTTTTAGAATTATACTATTTTAAGCCTGGAGAGATTGACTAATCCACCCACCCGCTCTCACAAGTGAGAAAACTCAAGGTAAATGAGTGCTGGAAAAGGTAGGGAGGGGACAGAAAGTCTAAAAGGAGAACTCTCCTGACATAAGTTCACACTTGTACAGATGCAATC